GAAAAGTAGCCCACAAGCTCATGGATTTCCTAGCGTTTGCCTATTCTGTAAATCCACTGCACGATGCCAATCAAACTGCTGCGATAACCATTCGTGACTACTTCACCTGCTTCTTTGCGTTCGAAATCCTTGTAAAACAGCGATTCAATAAGGTTAGGGACGTGCACACTAGGTATGTCGGTTGGGGTGTAAGGGTGTCCAGCAGTGGTTCACGTGACGATCGTAGTGAGTCACTCACTCGCTTGCAGGTGTAGACTACGCCTAGCGTCCATTTGCTGACACCCAACCCTCACATGTGGCTCCCAAAGCTAGGCTCTGCCTAGCGGCCACACCCGGTAACCGCCTCGACCGGTGGGCTAAACCAAGAGAGGGTATCCGTGTGGGCATCTGCGCGCACGGTATTGTGGACTCCGATGGGCGGTTGGTCGGCATCCTCGGGGCGGAGCTACGTCTGGTGCACAGCAGGGGGCCACAAGCTTACGGCGATGTCGTAAGCTCTCCAGGCTAACTTAAATTGTTCTTCCACTAAACCAAAGCCGTGGCCCATAGTGGAGTTCGCCGGCGCCTGACACTACCGAGGAACCCTATTTAGGGCGGCGCTGTTTGCCCCCGGCAAGGGGGAGGGGCTAAAAAAGGTGCTATAAAGAAACGCTGGGGAACCACGCCGTCCGCAGGCTGACCATGGACACAGACGTTAAACTCGCGGTTGAAACAATCAACAAGTAAACAAAAACAACACTCTCTCTTCCTCTTTTTGCCTCTGCTTCTTCTTCTTCTTCTTCTTCTTCTTCTTCTTCTTCTTCTTATTTTCCCCCTCCTTCCAGCCGCCCAAATTGCCAGACTGGTAGGGTGAATCAGCTCACTCTGGCAGCCTGGAATGTTCGTCCCCTTTTAGACAATTCGAGGAGCAGCCGGCCGCAACGGATAACGGCGCTAGTGGCTCGGGAACTGGCGCGCTACAAGGTGGACATCGCTGCACTCCGAACAATGCAAACAGGAGGGGGTGGGTGCCGGCTACACTTTCTTCTGAAGCGGTCGCCCCAAGGCAGAGCCACGGGACGCGAGTGTCGCCTTCGCCATCCGAAACGACACTGTGGGATGACTGCCCTGTCTGCCGCA